CCGTTTGTGTTCCCTCTCTCGCTGTGTCTTTCTCTGTCAAATAAATAAAATCTTTAAGAAAAAAAAAAAACTCTTTGAACGTACAAAATTTCCAACATGTACAAAATTACCTGTGATACAATAAGAAATATATATTTAGTCTTTGTCCTTGCTTCCTGGCGCATAGTTCCTAAGACCCTTGCAATCCCCAGAGTGCTAAGAATGTCTTTTGTGGGCTAATGAGACTGGGACTGGGAGTGGGGGGCCCCTAGCGGGCCTCAGGATAGGGTAGTGGACAGAATGACCACACCGGGCTTAGTGGGTTGGACTTTAAGTCCCCCACCCCCACACCCCTTCCAGGGACAGAGAGGGGATGGAGAGGCGGTCAATCTCAGTGGCCAGCGAGCTCATCAGTCGCACCTGGGTAGTGGAACCTCCATGAATTCCCTGCCCGGGGGCTGGGGGGGATCTGGAGGGCTCCCAGGTTGGGGAGCACGTCTGGGTGCTGGGCGGGGTGGGGAGCTCTGCGCCCCTTGCCCCATACCTTGCTTGCCCTGCGCATCTCTTCCGTCCAGATGGTCCTGAGTTGTGTCCTTCATGATAAATGGGTCACGAGTTAGTATAAGGTGCTTCCCGCAGTTCTGTGAGCCGTTCTAGCCAATTATGGAACCCGAGGAGGGGGTTGTGGGAACCCCGATTTGTAGATGATGGGTGGGAGGTACGGGAGGCGTCTGAAGCAGGGGTGGTCTTGTGAGGCTGCAGGGTCTGCACTCAGGGCAGCTGGTGTCAGAATGGCGCCAGCTGTCAGACACCCGCCGGCTTCTGCAGAGCCGCAGACCCGTGGGCGGAAGACCGCATGCTGGGCGCCAGAGATGGTGTTGGAAAACAACATGGTACCCATCACTCAGCTTCAACAATTACTAACTTATGCCCAGTCTTCTTTTCTCTGTAACTCCTCACACTTGGAACCACCTGCCTGCCTCCTGGCTTGATTTGTAGCAGATTCCAAGCATCATATGATTCATCTGTAAATGTTTCAATTATGTGGTGAAGTATGAGGGTTTCATTTTTAAGATGATGCCATCATCATCTCCCCACAAATTAGTAGTAATCTTTCAGTGTTATTAGATATCCAGTTAGTGTGTGCACTGCCCCTGTTGTCTTTAAATATCTTGTTTGTTTTTATTTTTTTACAGTTTGTGTGACTTGGGATCCAAACAAGAGTTGGAGTTAGGTTATCCTGAAGCTAGGATAGGTATGATATGTTTCTTGTTTCTTTTTTTTTTTCATCTATATATTCTCTCTCTCTGTTTTACTTTCCTGTAATTATTTTGTCCTTGTGGAGGGAACCAGCTTGTTTGTTGTGTAGGATTTCCCAGCGTCTGGATTTTTCAGAACGTATCACCTTCTTGCTGTTTAACACTTTCTTCTTGCTCTTCTATTTCTTGTAAATTGGCAGTTGGATCCAGAGGCTTGATCAGATTTCAGGCCTGATTTTGGGAGGGCAAGACTAAGTCATGACCCCGGCCCTAGGTAGTGGTGTGTCTTTCTGTCAGGAGGTACATGATATCTGTTGTTTACCTTTTTTGTGATATTTGAACTCATTTCATATGTTGAATCTACTTCTCTGCTCTTTCATATTTGTCACTTTATCTAGAATCTATTTCCAATCTCACTTTCTTTAAATTCCTCTTTTCCATCGTCTTTTCTTATGTAGGGCATTATCCATTGCATTGATTGGCTTTTGTGTATTGCCAGTTCAGTTTTTATTTATGAAATTTTTTTTGTTTTATTTTCTGAACCCTTTCATTTCTTTGTTCAGTTTTATTTTTTTTTAAAGATTTTATTTATTTGAGAGAGAGAATGAGAGAGAGAGAGAGCACATGAGAGGGGGGAGGGCCAGAGGGAGAAGCAGACTCCCCGCTGAGCAGGGAGCCCGATGTGGGACTCGATTCTGGGACTCCAGGATCATGACCTGAGCCGAAGGCAGTCGCTTAACCAACTGAGCCACCCAGGCGCCCCTAGTTTTTATTTTTTTATTTTTCTAAGTCACCTAATTTCCAACTATTTCTAATTCTGATTTATTTATTTTTCATCACCTTTATCATTTTCTCAGATTTTCTTAGCTCATTTTCAATCTGTTTCGTTGGTATTTCTCTTTCAACTACTGGCATTTTCTCCCCAGTGTGGGGCCTTGGCCTGGTGGGCTTTAGAATGTGAGGTGGAGGAGATTACAGGAACCAGCCCCCAGGCCCTTCCCCAAGAGTTTTCAAGAATGTTAGCAGAGCCTTAATTTTGGACCGTTAGAGCTCTGAAAAGGCAAGTAGAGTGAACCAGTCCTCCTGGGTCAGTTAGCATTGCCGGATGGTGTTGGGTCGGGTCACGCACAGCCAACGTGGGTACAGGTCCGGGAGCACCTGCCGATGTTGTCCCAGCCAAGGTTCCAAATCTGCCAGTGTCTTCCCAGACATCAAACAAAAAAGTCATGAGACTGGTTGCATTGGCAAATATAAATGTCTTAGGCTGGCATAATTCAAAGGTGCCAGGAAATATAATATTTAGTGTGTTGTGATCTAAGACTACAGTTTTGTTTAAAAGCAAACTCCTTATTTTTATGTAGCATTATTCAAAATGTTAAAGTAACTTGGGGCGCCTGGGTGGCTCAGTTGGTTGAGCATCCAAGTCTTGATTTCGGCTCAGGTCATGATCTCAGGGTCCTGAGATAGAGCCCCGCACTGGGCTCCATGCTCAGCGCAGAGTCTGCTTGGGATTCTCTCTCTCCCCCCGCCCCCCGGCTTGTGCTTTCTCTAAAATAAATAAATAAATCTTAAAAAAAAAAAGTTAGGGCGCCTGGGTGGCTCAGTTGGTTAAGCGACTGCCTTCAGCTCAGGTCATGATCCCACGGTCCTGGGATCAAGTCCCGCATCGGGCTCCCTGCTCTGCGGGGACCCTGCTTCTCCCTCTCCCACTCCCCCTGCTTGTGTTCCCTCTCTCGCTGTGTCTCTCTCTGTCAAATAAATAAATAAAATCTTTAAAAAAAAAAAAGTTAAAGCAACTTGAAAACGCAATCACTTAGAATTCAGATTTCTCTCTCAGTTTATCAGTCCCCCCCATTATAGCTCCCCTGTCCGTGTCTAAAATACTCTGGTACTAAAACTTATTTAGCAAATGTCATTTTTATTTTTCACAAAGCATCTTCCCATATGTCTAGCAGAGATGTACAGTAACCTCTTCCCTGGGTTTTGGATGAGAAAACTAGTACTTAGGGGCAGTGACTGCCCAAGTTCCAGGGGTGAACTTGTGCTTGGTTCTTTTTACATATCCCAATGCAGCAGAGTTCTGGGGGTCTCTCAGGTTTTCCTCCATCAGGGGAAATGCCCCAAATGCCAGGCGTCTCTGTCCTCAAACACACTGCCCCCCCCCCCCCCGCCAAACTTGGCAATGAGGATGCTTATGCTCTTTCTTCTACCCACAAGACTTGGGTTCCTGGACACCCTGAAGAGGGGTCAGAAGTGCCTACGAAGGTAGCCCAGTAAGAGGCACAGGGTCGGAAAGCTGGGGAGCAGGGGCGGGGGGCAGGTGGGGGAGAGGAGACCAGAAGAGGGCCTGAGGGTTCTCACCGCCACCTCTCTGAACATTTTTGAGCGGTCCCAGTTCCACGTTAGTTCATTCCCCCTCTTTGGCTGTCTGGGGTCAGTTCCCCATGGAGATTGCCTGTGTGGGACCTGGGTCATGGAGGCCGCTCGTACCAAAGGCTCAAGTTCCTCCGGAACTGCGGAGCATCCCTTAGGCACTCACCTCTGTAACTTGAGGGCACGGCAATGCTATTATTATTATTTTGATCCTCAAGAAAAGGATGGTTCTTCAGTTTTCATGGAGTGACTAAATGGCCTTTTTCTCTGTAGTTGTTCATTTTGTAGGGCTCGACCCCAGAATTGCTGCATGGCTTATAGATCCTGGGGATGGTGCACCCTCTTTTGAAGATTTAGTGGCAAAATACCTTGAAAGCTCCATCTCTGTTAAAGTGAACAGCACATATGGGAATTCCTCAAGAAATGTTGTGGTGAGTTATGTTAAGATGAGGCTTTACCAACCTTAATCAACCGAATTTTTTCCTAGAAATTTTTTCTGCTTCATAAACAGTCCAGTAGTAAAAAGAACATTGCTGACATTCAATTTTACTTATTCTACACAAATGCTTTTTACCCTGACATTTCTGGTGGAGGATATTGAGTTAGGACAGGTGACTTCTGTTCCTTCATGAAACTGTTCCTGGGAAGTCCGTTCACAGTGTGATCCTTCTTCTTTTTTTTTTTTCCCAATAAAAATCAGAAGGATTTTTTATTTCTAAGTCCTTTGAAAAAGCAAAACTAATGCAACACAAATTGAAAGATCTAATTAATAAATTTAACAAGCCAAGGTAATTTTGTTACGTAAATTAACCCATTTATTATAGGCTAGCTATGTTTCAACTGGGGGAGCTCCTACTGGTCTTTCAACTCCTTCAGTCGTCTGATGGCAGACTTTACTGTGACAGCAGAAGTGGTGTTGTAGGTCCAGGTGCCACCAGCGACGGGTTTCATGCAGGAGCCACAAGGCCAGACCCCCACAGCTCGTCGTTGCATCTTGGTTTTGCCACAGAAGGAGCAAGTGTACTTGGCATGCTGGCTCATTTCAATCTTCTTCACCATTTTCCTGAGGGAGGCACCATAATGGGTCCTGGATTTATCCACAATTCCGACCCTCTTGGTGCGTTTAGCCATGTCGCCGCAAACTAGGTCTGAGCCCAGAGAGACAGTGTGATTCTTCTAAATGGACCCTCTGGCGTCAGAGCCACGTGCTCTGGGCCCCACGAGCTGCTCGTGGTGCCGGTGACCCGGCAGCTTCGGCAGAGGCTCAGGTACCACCTCGCTCCATGTGCCCAGGTGTGTCTTCCCAAGCCCTGTCCGAGACGCACCCAGTTGTTAGGAACCACATCCGCAGAAGCCATAGTGCTCACGGGTCTGGAGCCCGGCCCGGAGCCCAGTGAGCCAGGCCCCCGAGGAGGTGGCCCCGGGGAGCAGTGTGGCCACAGTTGGGCCACTCTGTTGAGGCTTCCTGCATGCAAATCAACAGCAACACGCTAGAAGCACAACGGGACGAGCATACAGAGGGCTCGGGGAGCACGAGGATTGGCCGTGGGGTGGGAACCATGGGGGCAGAGTGGCTGGTGATGTGAGGGCCCTGAGGCTCGGGGAGGTCTGCTTGCTCCTGCTCTTCATCCTGCGCGTCTGTGAGGGAGGGTCTGAGTCAGATGGGGACTTGGGGGTACAAATGCGGAAACTCACTCTCCCTTAATTTAAAGAGATGTGTCAGAGGAATACGGGGGAGCTCACAGACTCAGAGGGAAAGCAGGAGCAGGTCATGGGAAGACGTGAGCCTCAGGCCCTGGGGCCAGCAGTGAGCCATGGGTCACTTTTGTCGAAGACCCACAGTTAGTTCCCTCACTGTGCCACATGTGTGCCCCTTGGTGAGGGGACAGTGCATGGAGGTGAGTTCTACTGATCGTAGGATGCTGGGAGGGGAACTTCCTCAAATAGCAGCCGGGACACTCACTGAACCAGGGACTTGCCCACCTCAGCACTACCAGTCCCAGTTGATAGATGACGAGACCAAGGTGCAGAAGGGTCAGTGTGCATGCATCTTGCCCAAGGTCAAGTTGAGGCTGTGGATCAAAGCGTGGGTTTCTGACTATAAGGTCTGGTTTCTTTCTAGTGCATCTAGGGCTGGGAGTGGCTGCAGGGAATAAAGCACCAGCCTCAGAGGTGTGTTTTCTCCCTGTCTAGAAGCCGCGGCCCTGCACCCAGCTGCTCTCAGTGCTGTGGACCCTGCCAGTCCCACCGCTGCCTGTGAGCTGTCGCCTCACCCCGGGCCCTCAGCACACTCCAGGAAGAAAAGCAGCAGCCTCCGTGAACTTGCGCTCAAATCCTGGTGGCTAGAAATGTGTCCATTGTGGAGGCATGCAGTGCGTGAGGGACGGGAGGGGAAAGCCAGGCCCACGTTGTGCCATGTTGAAGAGGTGCTGGGGATGGTCTGAGAGAACGCAGGGGGCGTCTGGGCAGAGGGAGCAGCATGGGAACAGGAGGGAATGGTGAGATTGGGAAGAAAGGTGTAGGGTAGAGGAGGAGCGGTATCACAGGCTCTGTCACGCGGGTGCTGGTCCCACCCGGAGCTCAGGCTTGTCCTAGGGAAGCCCCGCCGGAGAACCGTGCATAGTGGGAGGCGCATCGTCAGCTCTGTCCTGTAGGAAGCTCATTTGGGCGGGAGTGGACAGTCTGCTCACGGTGTCCTCAGACCAGTCTTCCAGGAGAGCCAAGGCTGGGGATGACGAGACCGCAAATGCCAGACTACATCAGCCCACTGCTGGCTCCTCGTCCTGTGGTTTCTCTGGCTTGGGGCCTTGAGGCCGAAAGTGGAGTGTGGGGAGTTGTTTGGCAGAGCGAGGTGTCCAGGGGAGAAGAGTCAGACTGCGTGCTGGGGGTTGCGGCTCATGCCCCTCCCTGTGTGTCCATGCTCAGGGCCTCCGGGGGTGTCGTCCAGGTGAGGACAGACAGTGAGTGTGGCCACGTGGCTCCTCAGCCTACCGGGGCACGTGAGGGTATGCTTCTGTCTCTACCACCGTGTGATCTTTGCACCATGGACACTTGGCAGTTCCTGTAAAATGAAGAAGAAAACTGGGTTGGGGGAAAGTGTGAGGCTCCAGGTAGCTTGCATTTGTCCAATAAGTAGGCTTTTCTGTAGCATGGGAGCTCGCCCGCTTGAGGTATTTGGTGATGCCATCGATGTTCATGTCTGCCATGGAAAGACTCGTGCCACCTACCTAGTGCCCAGTTCTGTGGGCTGTGTCAATCCCTAGATTGTGATGAACATTGCTGCCAAGTTTGCCTAATCTTTCATTCTTCTGATCTTTTAAAGAATCAGAATGTACGGGTGAACCTGAAGATACTCCACAGACTTACGATGGGCCTTTGTTCCCAGTTGAAGGCAAGGCGTCTTACTGTAACTTGGGGTTGGCAGGCACTCTTGCTCACTGTTCCCCAAGAACACCTCTCACTCACATCCATGCTCACAGCATCTTTGAGTGAATTCTCAGGCCAAGTGAACTTGTGCATCACTCATAGAAGGATAGTCCACATGGTAAGACCTGAAGTTTTAAGGCAGTGGTGGACGTAGGCTAACAATTGTAGCGTTTTTTAAAGCTACCAATTCAATTGGAACTTTTTTTTTAAGATTTTATTTATTTATTAGAAATGGAGAGCATGAGTAGGGGGAGGGGTAGAGGGAGAAAAAAATCTCCAGCAGACTCCCCACTATGTGGGCAGAGCCCGATGCAGGGCTCGATCCAAGGACCCTGAGATCATGACCTGAGCCAAAGTCAGATGCTTAACTCAGCCTCCCAGGCGCTCCTCAGTTGGAATGTTTCTAATGCTACAGTTAACATAAAAGCTGAGTATTCATTTTAGTTTAATAGTGAGATAGACACAGCTCCACTCAGTCTCATTGGGAAGCGGAGGGCATTTGCGGGAACAGTCAAGAAGAGTTGGAGGAAGGGACTGTGTGTGGAGGTGAGCCCAGGAGTGGGGGGGCCAGCAAAGGATGGAGAAGCCTCCAGAGACAGGTACTAGCTGGAAGTGTTTCAACCGCTGGGCTTGGAGGGGAAGCTGTCACCAGGACCCAGGGAAAGCCGAGACCCTGCAGGGGCTGCTGGTCAGGAGCCGGGCACCAGGCACTGTGGTTGCAGGCCCCGGACTGTGGGCTGCTGGGAAGAGTCTAGTGGGAGAGAGGAAGCCCATTTCTCTACCCTATTACCCCACATGGGCAAAACCAGCCTGAGAGCTGAGGAGAAGCCAGGTTGTGGCCTGGAGCACATCAGCCCTTCCCCGAGGGCAAAGTGCAGGGCACAGGGCCTGGAGGAGGGGCTGGCGAGGCTGAGGGCTTCAGATGGCAGCAGGAAGGGACACACATGACAGAAGCCCTGAGAATAGGCATGAAGACGGTCTGAATAAATGCAGAGATGTCTCATACTCCTGGAGGAGGTGACCTCATATAAAGATTTCACCTCTCCCCACACTAATCTATAAAGCCATTGCAAAAACCAATGAAAATTCTAGCTACACTTTTGGGAATTCAGTATACCTATTCAGAAGTTAAAATGGAAGGCTACAAGTCTAAAAATACCTACATCACACTTAAAAATGAGAAAGATTAGGGCGCCTGGGTGGCTCAGTCGGTGAAGCATCTGCCTTCGGCTCAGGTCCTGATCTCGGGGTCCTGGGATTGAGTCTGTGTCAGGCTCCTTGCTCAGTGGGGAGTCTGCTTCTCCCCCTGCCTGCCACTCCCCCTGCTCATGCTCTCTCTCTGTCAAATAAATAAATAAAATCTTTAAAAAAATTGTTTTAAATGAGAAAGATTAAAGAGAATTGGGAGTGGGGGTTGGCCTACCTGGTATTTCTAAATATCTCTGTGAGGTCTTGGTAATGAAATAGAATACTTGAAGGAAATAGGAGTTTTACTAGGAAGGAGCTTGGCGGGAGGGCTGCTGTTGGGAGGAGCCACCACTCACTTGGGAGTTGCCCGAAATTCCACCTCAATGCAATCAAGTAGGCTGTTCAGCAGTGTGCAGGTAGAAATAATTTAAAAGTAACATTGGTATCATTTTTTCCTACAAAACAGGTTTATGGTTTATGGCAACTATTTTGTACTTTGGAGCTTCCTCTGATACCAGTTTTGGCAGGTAAGCTACCATAAAGATGATGGACAAGTCCTGTTTCTAGGGAATTCTTGACATTGTTTGAGGGCAACTGTTTCTTACTTAGGGGTAGGCAGTGTGTCATGTGAGCACTGAGAGGTAGCAAGCCCTTTATTTTCCCTCTGTAACAAGAAGGGGTTGGATAGCATCACCTGTTGATCTAGAAGGATGAGAATGTTCTGACCTCTCAGTCACATGGGATCCCTCTTGCACCGCGTGGTTCTGCCAGGCACCCTGGCCGAGTGGCAGCCCCAGCTCCTGAGGGCCGCAGTGCGGGTCGAGCCTGTGTTGTGTTCTGCATGGCAGTTGTTCATCCTGGTGGTGTGCTGTCCGTCAGCCCCCCCTCCGCTGGTCGGGACAGCCCCTAGAACAAGGGGTGCCAGGCCCTCCTCTGCCTTTGCCTCGCAGCGCCCCCCTCTGCCCGGGTCCTGCTAGGCACTAGGGGAGCCGAGCCTGGCCCAGCGCTCCGCAGCCTGCCTGGCCCGAGGCGACTCTGTCCTGTGTGCCAGGGTGCGTCCCCACGCCCCCCACTGCCACTGCTGGGCTCCCGCACTGACCCTCGTGGACCGTTGGTGGAGGTGGGACGCGGCAGGCACTGTCCTTGTCCTCGTCAGGAAGGGAGGCTTGCTCCCCGTCCTTGAGGCTTTCACAGAAATGACTCACTGTTTGGTGTTTGACTGACAGTGATGGAGAGCCACAGCATTCAGGTGAACAGAGAAGAGATGGAGAGGACTTCAGCCCTTCTGGGGGTACGTTCTTATTTCAGAGCTGGGGTGCCTGTAAGTCCTTCCTCCCTTCCTCCTCCCTTCCTCACTCACGCCACACTGACCCCGATGCCTCCTGTCTCTGATGCGTGCTGGGGAGCACCAGACCCACCCTGGGTGCTCACTCCATGGTCCACGGGGTTTCATGGATCCTCCGGCTTCTCAAGAGTCAGGTTCATTTCACAAGTACACCCCCCTGTAGTTTGGTGAGGGGAATTCATGGCTTTCTTGGGTTCTTTGAAAAAACAAGAACAGGGCCCCTGGGTGGCTCAGTCGGTGAAGCCTCTGCCTTTGGCCCAGGTCATGATCCCGGAGTCCTGGGATGGAGCCCCGCATTGGGCTCCCTGCTCAGTGGGGAGCCTGCTTCTCCCTCTCCACTGCCTGCTGCTTCCCCGGCTCCTGCACTCTTTCTCTCTCTCAAATAAATAAAATCTTCTAAAAAAGCAAGAACAAAACTTTCTGTCAAAAATAAAAAATACAGAGGGTGCATAGAGATGCATGAAAAATGCATTAAAATGTTTCACATAAGTTATTTTAAAGGAAACTCTGGTATAACCACCACCTAGGTCATAGTGTAGAATTTCGAGAAGCTCTGTGTGCCCTTTCCCTATCAGAACCCCTTCCCGCTGCCAAAAGTAACCTCCGCCCTGATTTCTGGAGTCACTACGTTGTTGCTTTTACTTTCCTTTGCAGTTTTCCACCTCAGTGCCTAAATGATCTGTTTGGCTTTACTTTGGAACTGTGAGTTAGCGGTCGTCTGACCACTCTCCCTCCAATCTGAGTCTCAGCTCCACCCGTGTCCCGTGTTGCTCGGTGCTTAGTCTTCCCGTCACAGCCCGTGTCCCACTGTTGATAGCATTTAGGGTGTGGCCACCTTGCGGCCCTTACGAACCACACTGCTCCTTTGGGCATGTTTCCTGGCCCCACTGGTGCACGCTTCCCTGGGCACAGGACAGTCTCCTCAGCTTTAGTAAGAAGTTGCACTGCCAGAAACACACCGGGGAGGGTCCTGCCATTGCACGTCCTCACCTGCATGAGGACAGCAGGCTTTTAGGAGCAGCCATTCTGGTGGGGACGTAATGGTATCTCGTTACGATTTTGGTTTCTATTTTCCTGCCTACTAATGAGATGGAATAGCTTTTTATATCATCATTGGCTATTAGGAGTTTCTCTTTGGTAAAAGATCTCTTCAGGTTTCTTACCCATGTTTTTATGGAGGCCTCTATCTTTCCCTTACTAATTTAGAGGACATCTTGATATAATCCAGTTACAAGCTTGTTACATATACCTTCTCCCTCTCTGTGTTACCTTTTCACTCTCCTAATAGTATCTTTTGACAAATAGAAGTTCTTAATTTTTAATGTAGCGTAATTTACCAATCTTTGTCTTTATGGTTAGTGCTTTTTGTATGCTGTTTAAGAAAGCTTTCCTACGTCACATTCATGAAGTTTGCTCATGTATTATGTTTAAAAGCTATTTTTATTAGCCTTTGCATTTAGGTTTATAATCCATCTGATTTTTTCTTTTCATGTACTGCTTTAATTGAGAAAGAAATTGCATACAGTGAATAGTACAAATAATTTTAATTATTGTGATAAAGTACATTTAATATAAAACTTACTATCTTAGCCATTTCTGATTAGACGGTACAGTGGTATTAAATACATTCTCATGGTTGTACAGCTATGATCACCATCCATCCCCAGAACTGTAAAACTGAAACTCTGTGCCCCTTAAACAGTCACTTTCTGCTCTCCCCTCCCCCCGCTGCTGGCAGCCACCGTTATGCTTTCTGTCTCTATGATCTGACTGCTCTAGGTACCTCATGTAAGTCGAATCACACAGAATTTATCTTTTTGTCACTGGCTCATTTCACTTAGCATAATGTCTTCAACATTCATCCTTGTTGTAGCATGTTGCAGAATTTTCTTCCTTTTCGAGGTTGAATGTATGTACCACATTTTACTTACCATTCATCTGCTAGTGGATGTAAGCAGCTTGGGTTGCTTCCATGTTCCAGCCATTGTGAGTAACGCTGCTATAAAAATGGGTGTACAAATATCTCTTTGAGGCCCTGCTTTCAATTCTTTTGAGTATATGCCCCAAGGTGAATTGCTAGATCTTATGGTAAGTTTTAATTTTTTGAGGAACTACTGTACTTTTTCTACAGTGTCTACCATTTTGCACTCCCACTAACAGTGCGTAAGTGCACTTTCTCCACATCCTCAGCAATACCTGTTGTTTTCTGAGTTTTTTGTTTTGTTTGTTTTTATAATAGTCATCCCATTGGGTGTGAGCTGGTATCTCACTGTAGGTTTGCTTCGCATTCCCCTAATGATTAGTAATATTGATCATCTTTTCATGTGCTTACTATCTGTGTATCTTCTTTGGTAAAAGGTCTATTCAGGTCCTTTGCCCGTTTTTTTTTTTTAGATTTTATTTATTTATTTGAGAGAGAGAGAATGAGAGAGAGCACATGAGAGGGGGCAGGGTCAGAGGGAGAAGCAGGCTCCCCGCCGAGCAGGGAGCCCGATGCGGGACTCGATCCCGGGACTCCAGGATCATGACCTGAG